TACCACTAAAGGGGTCAATGGGCAAAAGGGGGACCTTCTGTAACACTTTCAACAATAAAGATATTTAAAAGATGTGGTACATTTACACAAAGGGATACTACACAGGCATAAAATAGAAGGGAAATCTTCTCTTTTGTGGCATCATGGATGGACCTAAACGTTATTATGCCAAGTGAAATACATAAGTCAGTCAAAGAAAGACAAATACCATATGCTCTCACTTACCTATATGTGGAATATAATGAACAATATAAAGTGATGAACAAAATAAAAACAGAGGCATGGATACATGGAACAGACTGACAACTGTCAGAGGGTAGGGGAAGTGGGGGACTGAATGAAAGAAGGTAAAGGGATTAGCCAGAGACCATAGATGCATAACTCATAGACACAGATAACAGTGTGCTGAAGGCCAGTGGGAGGGGAGTGAGGACTGGGTGTAGGTGAGCAAAGGGAGGGTTCATGGGGACATCTGTAATAGTATCAAAAATAAAATTTTAAAAAGGAAACAAGAAAAAAAGGGAGAAAAATGTCTAAGAAAAAAGGGGTATTTCACAGATTCAAAGGTCAGAAAGAGATTGAGTACCTTAGGGTGAGGACCAATTGAGACCATTCTGACTCTCAAAAAGGCAATATCAGGCGAGTAGTGAGCAGGTTTAAGGTAGAAAAGAAGAGATTGGAGACCTGGACAGGTGTCACTGAGTGAGGCAGGGGTGAAGGACAACAGCCTGCTGTCTTTGTCCCTGGGCAGAGGTTGGGGTGAACACAGAGCAGTGTTGGGAAGAGGATTTCCAAAACACGTCACCTGAATGGCCATGGGCAGCAGCTTCCCACTGGGTTCCATCTTCAGCATGACAAGGGGGGCAGCCAGGTACTGCTGCTCTCCTTGGATTATGTTGGCTGGAATTCCATCCAGCAGGATAAAGTCGGCCTCAAAGAGGGAACCCTTCTGGAGAAAGGGGGAACATATCCATGGTTAGAGTTCAAATACTACACCCAGAGGGACAAGGCAAAGGGGCAAAAATGTAAAGAAATTCAGTGTAGTTTCTTTCAATTATCCTACATCAGTACCAGAGTCCTACTGGCAGAAAGGAAGGAGGCATCCAGAGCATTTAATCCAAGTCATCTCAGTTGACAGTGAGGAAAGAGGCAAAATGAGAGGACTATCCCCCAGGAACATGTTCATTCCCTGTGGCAGTGGTGGTTTTAAGACCATAGTTGGCCAATTCCTTTGCACCACGGGCATGCTAAGCTTCCCCATCAAGGTTTCCAGGCCTCTTTCCTCATCATATCCTAATCTCCTGCTGCCTCTCTCTGGCACCCACCAGTCTTATAGTTTCCCCTGCATATTCTAGGTTTTCCCCGCAAAGGACTCTGCACCCAGGGACAGCGGACTAACACAGCCTCCCTTCTCTGACTCACTTTTGGTCCCTCCCCCTCACCGCTTCCCTTCCCCACGCAGATAAGGAGAAGACAACAGAGGGCTGGAGGGTGCACCTGGAGTTCTTCCTCCAGCTGGGCACGAAGCTCCTCCATCCCTGAGGGCAGCACCAGCCGGGAGGGCAGAGAGGTGGAGCGTCTCAACAGCATGGGGTTGGCGCCATTGAGGAACTGGTAGCCAAAAAGCTCATCATCCTGCCAGCACTGATGAACCTTCTCTGTGGGGTTGGAGTGGAGGATAAGGGGAGGATATTCACCACAACCTGATGTCCCTCTTTATACAGCATATGTTTACCCTGCAGCCCGTCTTTTCTTTTTGTTGCCTCTGAGAAATGACCAGGTATATTATCTTCTCATCTGGGAACTACTTATGAGGGTCTATGGAGTATGAAGTTTGGGACAACAAAACAAGCTATTAAGAATTTACAAAGGTCTATGGGAATACTGACCACAAAGAGTGCTCTTGGGGCCCCAGAAGATCTGATCAAAAGCCTCCAGACTGTCCCAGGGGTTCATGAGGTTGTAAACACGTTTGAAGACCATCTCCAGAGCCCTAGGACAGGTGTCAAGGATGGCACTGTCAACTCACCAAATCATGCTTGTTACGGGATCCACCACTACCCACTCCATTGGGATCTTTTCTCACCCTGTCTTCTCTCTGTGTTCATAGTCCAGCCTCTTTTCACCATGAAATTTCATATCTGGGGGCAGATCCTTCACAGAGTCCGCAGCTATTGTCAGGGGTAGCCCTTCCTTCCAGGTGGCCCAACTAGCAGATGGAGAAAAGAGTTCAGGGAGGAATTAGGGGGTTAGTGATGGTGACAAGATCAGAGAAGAGGTGGGAATATCAGGAGGGCTGTGGATGGGTGGTTACCGGTAGATCAGCTGTCTTTCCTTCAGTTCTTTCTCTCGATGCTTCTGGAACTTGTCCAAGGTACTCTCTCCTGCCAGGCGGGCTGGGAGAACATTTGACCACATTGTTTGTCCAACTCATGCTATCCCTGACTTGATCTAGTCTCTCACTCTTGACTGTATTCCATTAGACTCTTGCCTTTTTCTCTGGCTCTACCTCACCTGATGTATTCCCAAAGTCACTTTTTGTATCTTTGCCCAAAACCTATTTGTGATTTCACCTCTTTCAACCCCATATTTGTCCATAAGCAATAGTCCATGTTTTCCTCCCTTTCTTGTTTTTTTGAAACAAATTCCACTACTTGGGCCTATAAATGATTATGAATTTTCTTCTTAATCACCTGACATGTCCACAATATCCCATATTATTGTGTATTGCCTTTCTTAAATCATCAGTACTGGGCTTCCTCTTTCTACACCTTCACCTGTCCTCTGAATGACATATTTCCTATTCATTTTATATATGCACTCTGCTCTTTCCTTCCCTACCCACACCTGATCCCTGGGACAAAAATTCTATGTGTGCTCCCTTCAACCATCCCATGTCATCTGTGTTAGGGAACAAATAGTTTCATGTTGCTACCTTTCCTTGACTCCATCTCACCTAGCCTCACCATCACATAGTTTATATTTGTTAACCTGACTTGTCCTTTTCTTGCCTCTATTTATATTATCCCTCAAAGACACCTATTTCATGTTTCCATTTTTTATTAAATTTATTGGGATATAACATTGATTAATAACATCATATAAAATTCAAGTGTATAATCTTACAATATGACATTTGTATACATTGAGTGTGCTCACCACCCAAAGTCTAGTCTCCTTCTGTCACCTTGTATTTACTCCTTTATCCTCTTTGTCTTTCCTCTGGGAACCACCACTCTGCTGTCTGTATCTATGAGTTTGCGTTTTTTGTTCGTTTTGTTTGTTCATTTGTTACTTTTTGTTTTATATCCTATATATACACATAAGAATACAGTTCTTATTCTTTTCCTTTGACATTTCATTTAACATCATACTCTCAAGATCCATCCATGTTGTCTCAAACAGCAATGTGTCATCTTTCTTATGGCTGATTAGTCTCCATTCTTACAGGCCATTGTTCTCAATTTCTCTCTAGTCAGATCTGTCCTCCACGTGTCCCATAGCAACAAATCCCCTATAGCCCCTGCTCACTCATCCCCATCCCAGTCAGAGTGCTCCCTGCCCTACCAGTTGTCTTCCATGTTATCACAGCCAAGCCAGCTCTTCATGGTCATATCATTTATTGCTTCCCTTCCCTGCCTCCTCTCAGGGGTCCCATGTGCTAGCCTTACCTGTCCCTGCCCTCACTGGTTCCCAGTCACTGGAGATTCCTTCCCACCTTACTTTGGCTCTTCTGTTTCCCAGTGTGGCTGTACCTCCCATTCCCAGGGCACACCTTGGGAGGTGGGATCGACACATCACACATTTCCCTGTCCAGTCCCACTTCCAGCCCTTTTAATGCTGTGTGTAATGTCCCCCTAGTTTCCTGTCTTGGTTGCTCTTAACCTGCTGAGCATGCACTTTTTCAAGTCCCTCTAACCTTCCTCTGTGCTACCCATCCCGCCACCCCTTCGTCCTTCATTACTCCCTGTGTCCTGCTCCCACTTCCCTGAGGCGGCCCCTCACCGGTGCCCTCAGGCAGGGTCAGCACGCCCTCGCCCTGCACCCAGCGGTAGCAGGGGAAGGCGGCCTCCTCTAAGGCTCCTGGGCCCTGTATGGTGATGCGGTTGCAGAACCAGGCGTTGTCCACCAGAGAGTGGTGTTTGCGCACCTTCAGGAACTGCAGTGGCCCCAAGTCCTGGGGAATGTCCTGTTCGAACTCCGCCACCTGTGGGGACAGAACCTGGTGAGTCTTAGTAGTGGGGACCCGGGAGAGGACGTTTAACTGAGGGTGCGGGGTCCTCTGCAGATTCCGGTGACAAGGCCTCCAGGGACAGCATTGCCTCCTCCCAACCTGTGCTGCCTGTGGGTCTCAGAAGCCCCATCTCACCAGAAAGAGGAGGGATGCGGGGCGAGGCCCTGAGTGTCTCGAATTGAACACTGAGCACCATCACCTACCCCGTCCATTAACTGAGCTCTCACCGCGCCTGCGCTCTCAGAGGTCCTTCACCTTGACCATTGATCCCATAGGAACACTGGCCTGGCGTCAATGGGAGAAAAGTAGTGGAGGATGTGAGGACCACGGTGGGGCCGAGGGGAGAGGGAGGAAAGGGGTTGAGCCCAGCCAGGGCCCTGGCTCTGAACCTGTCACCCACAGAGGTGCAGTCATCCCTTCTCACTGGAAGGCCCAGCTGGGGAAGCTGCATTGTCATTGGCTCCCAGCCTCCCTTGTCCCGCCCGCCCTCACTCAGCCAGCCCAGTCAGGGGGTCTGAGTCCCCGCTTCCCGCACCCACCTGTCCCCTCGCTGGCCTCAGCTGCAGCTCCAGCTCCGCCTCCCCGCGCTCCCCGACCAGCCACAGCTGCACGCAGTTGAAAGACCCAGAGAAGAGCCAGGCCCCGGTGGCCACTTGGATGCGGTAGCGGCCCATGGCAGCAGGTGGGCTCGCCTGGGTGGCAGAGGATCTGTTATTGGTACCAAAGATTCCGCGGCCAGGCTTCGTCCTGCTGCCTCAGGACAAGTCCAGGGCTTAATAAAGCAGCACTGTGTGTGCCAGCCCACTACAGGATTGGGCCCTACCCCAGACAAACCAGAACCTGGGATTAGCCCAGAGGGTGGGGGAAAGGCGGCTGCTCCTCTCAGCAAAGAATGGGACTTAGAAGAAGATGAGGGGCTGAGCCTGGGTGCAGGAAGAGAGGTAGAGGGTGTTAGGTCAGAGAGAGCCTAGAATCGGATACATGCAGACATGTGACAAGATAATGGACTCCCCCTGGCATGTCTGGCAGATCAGCATGCCAGACACAGATACTGGCTTCTCCCTGAATCAACACCGACCCCCACACAGATACTGACTCATTCCTGAATACCTGGCTGACCCCCCTGCAGCTGAAACTTCCTCAACTGAATACCTCAGCTCATGTCCCCACCCCTCACCCAACCGCAGTATAAAAAAAGCGCCCCCCTCCCTGTTGGCGTAAATCCACGTGCCCTGTCTTTGGGGGTAGTGGGTCTCCCGGGGACGCAGAAATAAACCTTTTCCTTTCCTTTCTTTTCTGATTCACTGGACTCTCTATTTCTTGTGCCACTTCCTGAGCCACCTAACCTAACAGAGGGGCAGGGAGATTCCAGCAGAGTTTCTTCCTAGGCTCTCACTTCCCCCACCTACATGCCCCTGCCCCGGTTTTACCATCGAATAGTATTTTCTGAAGGGTCTTGGGTGCCAGTCCCTTTTCTTTCTGCCAGTGACTGGTGCCCCTTGGCGACTGTACCCACTTTCTCTTTCCCTGCAAGGTTTGCTTGCTGAATGGACATTGGGATTGTCATTATGGGCCAGAGAAGGCCATTCTTGAAGGACACTCCAGTGTTCAGGGATGATTTAGAGTATTTCCTGTAATAAGATTTGTGGTGCCCATTCACCTAATGTATTCCTTTTCTCCCTTTTGTTTTCTATCCACACCCCCATCCCACGACAAACAACCAACGCCAATACATACTATTTCTGCTTCTCCACTCCTTTCTGTTAATAGGATTGTTTTATATGGTTTGTGGCTTTCCTTCCACCAAAATGGTCACACTATACATTTATTTATTTTCTTGGAAGTTGCTTTCCTCAGTTCACAAACATGATGAGAATACCTTCAGATCAAAAGATGGAGATCTAACTATACTCTTTGCTAGCTTTGACATTATACTCTTGATGGGTATTCAGTATTAACTGTGATGAGTGCTTTAATGAACACCTTTGTATAAAACACTTATGCACCTTTATATTTATGGGACAGATTCCCAGAATTGAGATTTCAGACTAAAATACATGTATGTCTTTTATATTAGATGTTATATATTTTTTGGAAAACACTTTTTTGACATATGCTTGACATGTAAAATTTGTATATATCCAATGTCTATGTCTGTAATTCAATGAGTTTGCCAATGAGTATATCCCAATGTATATTATTGTCAAAGCGCTTCACAAAAAGGCTGTAGCATGGTACCAGAGGGCCCTTTTCTCTTCATCTCCACCAGCAGAGAAACTTATCACTTTTTAAGTTTTTGCCAATAGGATGGGTGTAATTTTGTAGAACAATGACTAGTTGCTGTTTGAGGGATGGTGGCAGAAGACACAAAACTTCAAGGTCAGTAACAAAGGGGATTTATTACTCAGAGCAAAAGCAATAGCCACAGTTCATATTCACATCAGCCCCTCATGCCCTCCCAAGTCCCACGAGTGAGAAGCAGGTGGGTCTAGGTGAGTGGCAGCACATGCAGTGGGCTGCATTATAGGAGAGGACTACAGGGTTGGGGGGGGGGGGGGCTCACCACTGTTGTGGTAAGCAAATCATATCCATTCTTTGTCTACAGGAACAGGACCTCGTTTGCATGATTGCTCACTGCAAAAACAACTTTGACAAATAGCCCAAGTCAAGGCAGTCAAAGCTTTGCATTTCTGGCATACCCAGCAGGAAGCTCTAGGGTCACTAGGGGCCCATGACAGATCGCCAAACCCAATTGATTGACGTGTGTTAACTGCTTAACCCCTTCTAAGAGCTTCCTAATGAATAAAAATAAAACCTAAGTCCCTCACCAAGGTGTGGTGTCCACAGTTAAACCTGCTGTCAGTGTAATAATGATAAGGAAATATGTAGAAAAGGGAAGTATAGAAATGTGACCCAGCATAGATGGTGAATCCCTGAGTTTTGATAGAGCATGACCCACACCTGTCCATGAATCTATTATACCAGGCTTTCTGCCCTGGTACTCACTCTGCACAAGTACTGTGACCACTGAACTTCTAGCACGCCTCCACCAGAGAAGGGACTCAACATGGAAGCATAGCTACTTCACTCCACCGGACCTCTATGCCTGATCTTCGGTATGTCCCTTAAAACTTATATTTACAGACTCAACAATAGCCTGACCTTAAACCAATTCCATTTCCACATTCTTGCCAACTTCTAATACAGACAACTTTATGCAATATTGTATGTCTTAGGTATATTCCAGATAATAAATGATGCAGGAATGATGGAGTTAGAATACCAACAGTTTGCAACCCCTAATAAAATAATACATCTGAGAAATGGTTATCTATAGTGGCTAGATGCACAAAAAGAGGCATTGTCAATGATTATGTGCCTCTGGTAGAAAGATTTTGCACCACTTATGAAGGCATCTTGAAACATAAAACTCTTAGTGAATTTCATTAATTCTATAAATATAACTACCAACATGTAGGAGGTACAGAGGATAAAGGAACTTCTAAAACCACCAGGTAATAACCAGCAAAATATGTTTTGGGAGACAAGCAACCTTGTTTCATCACCATAAACATGACAAGAAATGAAGAGAGAGAGAAGATGAGACATACAGATGAAATACAAGTGACTTCAGAAACAATTGCAACAGATGAGCCATATATAACATTGATCTTCATGTTTGGAGTTGGCTGGGGACTGTTGCTTTTCACACACAAAAAATATTTTGTGTCAGAATATTTGAACATGGTGTTATGATTAATATAATCACACAGGAAAGTCCTACAACTAAAAATAATGAATGATTTTAAGGAGGTTGTGTTGATGTTATAGAGATAAGCGGGGCCAGAATGCAGCAAGAAGTATGAGAGGTCAAGGCAGGAATTCCCTTTGGGATGGAATAGGTTTGAGGATATTTAGATGGCAAAGAACTAGTAGAGAGAGAACATTTAAGATGCAGGTTATGAAAGCCATAACTGAAGAAGGGACAACATGATGGGTGTGGGAGGATGAAATTCAAACCATATATGCAAGAACTGGTGTTGGATGGACAGGGAGACTCTTCCTTTCTAACAGAAGGTAGGACATAGAAAATTCTGTGTAGGGATATTAAGGAGGTTCCCACCTCACAGTTTCTATGTTCACCCCACTCCTCTTCCTAAACCTGATACTAGATGTCCTCTACTCAGGATCCAGGTATCACAGTCCCAGAGCTGAGCCAGATGGCAGCACCAGACCTTCTCAGATTTCTCTTTCCATCTTGGACAGGCAAGGTTAAATTCCAGATGAGAATGGAGCCCACTTAGCCTGCAGAGGGGGCAAAAACTACCCGATTTGGGGGGAGGTGTCTCTGCTTATAGTTCCAAGATCTATTTACATTTATTTTCATCAGATCTGCTCTTTTTTATTGAATTTATTGGGGTTACATTGGTCAATAAAATTATATAGGTTTCAAGTGTACAATTCTGTAATACATCATCTGCACATTGCATTGTGCACTTGCAATCCAAATGTAGTCTCCTGCCATCACCATTTATCCCGTTTACTCTCTTCCAGCTGCCCACAACCCTCTTTCCTCTGTTAATCACCATACTGTTGTCCATGAAGTTTTTTTCTTACTCCTTTCACCAGTTCATTAGCTCTTGTTCTAATATCTTTCTCTCATTATTTTCTCAACCTAACTCATGACTTGCTGGTCTCTGCTCTGATTATTCAAACTTTAAAGCTCGTCCTCCAAGAATGTTATTGTCATGCAGTCACACAACACAAGTTTCTAAAAGTTGGCATCATGGAGTAAAGGATTATTTTATCACCTAATACAGCCAGGGCAATGACACTCACTATATTGTTAAATGTTTAATGGCTATTCCTGAGAATAGGATTTGCTTCTGCTGTCTTTATGCCCATACTCCCGCTACCTCAAACACACGCACGCGCGCGCACACACACTCCATGTGGATCAGGCCTCTCACACTCTCTTCTCTTTATTTCTAGTCACTTTCACAATTCTCCCCTTCTCCCCATTTCTATTTCAAATATTATGAGAGAGCAAAAATTCTCCCCTTTTTGTTTTACAAATGAATTCAAATCATTTGATCATTTATTGTTTGAGCAGCATAAAGTAAAGGCAGATAGTTTGGGTGACCATTAACAGGTTCAATTATTTGCTATTAACTCTTTCCCAGCAGTTGTAAGTAGAAGGAAGTAAAGAATAATTCTCTAAATTTTATGATTTAAGTGCCACCAATGCTCTCAAAGGAAAATGGCTACATTCAATTTTCTGGTAGAAGGAAATATAAAATGCCTTTTATTTAATCCTTTCAAAAACTCAGTAGGATAGCTATTGATGTACCCCTTTTTATAAATAAAGACATTAAAGTTCAAAGAAATGAAAACATGTCCCCAAAGTCACCCAAAATGCAGGCAGTTGATCCCAGAAAGTGTCATGAACATTCGCTGAGTCATATTATAATTAGCCATTGTCTATTTGATCCTGTGGGTGTTGGCTTCTGGCCTTAGTTTTCTACTAAATATTCTAAAGCTTTTTTTATGGCCTGTTGATTCTTAAATCCCAAGGTTTTTTCTCAGTGATCTTAATTGTCAAAGCCTGTGATGCTTTGACATTTTGTCGTTTAGCTGAGCTGCTGGCAGAGGTTCCTGTTGTAGTTCATTGACC